TCCTCCAGCCCTTTGTCGAGCTGCCCCAGACAACACTATGTGGAATAGAGATGGGCTATTTCACCATGCCTTGCCCAAATTTCAGAATCTTGAGTAAATAAAACATGGTTCTTGTTTTAAACTATTCAATTTTGAGATAGTTTGTTAGCTACTAAGAGATAATTAAACAATAACAGCAAAAGATAACTAAAACAAGGGATATACCAAAGGTCCTATAACTAGTAATTTGTAAAGATGAATCTCAAATCCAGTTCCTCAGATAAAAGTTCAGTCTTTTTTCCAAAAGTGACCATTATAATCCTGTTTAATTCATGAGTACCAAAAATGTTCTGCTCCCTAAAATATCATTCTTACTTCCTATTGATGCTCAAAATGCCATAAATAGGTATTCAATCTTATGATCCTTATTGAGATATAAAAACTCCTGGGTAACTAGTAAGTATACTTTATTATTTTATTAAACCTTAGTTAAAGATATTTATCAGACTTTGTTAGAAAAGATTCTAATCAGTACCATGAGAACTATAAAATGATTGAACTACTCCACATTTTCTAGCTTTTCTCCAGTCCCATTCTTTCTTTATTTTGGTATCCTCTTCTGTGGAGAGATTGTCCATAAATGATGAAGTGAGGAGGCCTACATATTTTTACAATAAACCCTTAATATTCTCATATGAATACAAAATTCTGGGGAATATCTGCAAAAATTTAAAATTCTAGGTTGAGCTTTCCCAGTTTGAATCACCTCTCTGTGAACTAAGGGAGTGCAGAGTAGTTTTTTTTTAACAGACTTAATTTCACTTTATTTTTCTCATATAAAAATGCTATGTGGTAGCCACAGCTGGAGCCTGGGTCCTCTGCACAGAGACTCTGGTGTGGGTCTTGACAAGATGGTCGGTGAATTCCTGGTAGGGAGACTTGGTGAATACTGTCTCTTTCCGAAGGTCAGGAGTCTTGGAGATGGCATCGAAGGTAGCCTTTGCGAAGTTGCCCAGGGTGGCAGTGCAACCCTTGGCTGAAGTGTAGCAGTCATCGATACCAGCCATCATCAGCAGCTTCTTGGGCACAGGGGCTGAGACAATGCCAGTTCCTCTAGGGGCAGGGATGAGACGCACCAGCACAGAGCCACAGCGGCCTGTCACTTTGCAAGGAACAGTGTGGGGCTTGCCGATCTTGTTCCCCCAGTAACCTCTCCGCACGGGAACTATGGAGAGCTTGGCCAGGATGATGGCCCCTCGGATGGCAGTGGCTACCTCCTTGGAGCACTTGACACCTAGACCAACGTGGCCATTGTAGTCCCCGATGGCAACAAACGCCTTGAACCTGGTCCGCTGGCCAGCGCGGGTCTGCTTTTGCACTGGCATGATCTTCAAAACCTCATCTTTGAGAGACGCTCCCAGGAAAAAATCAATGATCTCAGACTCCTTGATAGGCAAGGAGAACAGATAGATCTCCTTCAGGGATTTGATCTTCATGTCCTTAACTAGGCGGCCCAGCTTGGTCACGGGCATCCACTCCTTATCCTCGGCCTTGCCTCCGCGAGCTCCGCGACCTCGGCCCCCGCCCCGACCACGGCCGCGACCACGGCCACGAATGCCGCTGCCGAAGCCTCCACGGAAGCGGCCTCCCATTCCAGGGCCCCCGGGGCCTCCGGGCCCTCCCGCTGCACCGGCGTCATCTGCCATTTGGTGTTTTCCCAGAGAAGAAGCCAAAGTAGTTTTAATGTTAGCCAAAGTCAAACAAAATTAGAAGAGTAAGTCTCCTAGAAATAAATCCATATTGCAATATCAAATAGAAATGATTTAAGGATTTTGCATTCTAAGGATTATTACATCACTGTGTTTATCCAGTAGCACAGATAATATTATAAATAGTTGCCTTAAAATAAATTTGTAACTTTGGTACCAAGGTTACTTTCAAAAAATAACTTGATTTTGCTATATCTCAAAAAAAAAAAAACAAAAAAATAAATAACTTAAAACTTCTGGTTAAACATGGAGAATTTAGGCCGGGCACCGTGGCTCACGCCTGTAATCCTAGCACTCTGGGAGGCCAAGGCGGGCGGATTGTTCAAGGTCAGGAGTTCAAAACCAGCCTGAGCAAGAGCAAGACCCCGTCTATTATAAATAGAAAGAAATTAATTGGCCAACTAATATATATAGAAAAAATGAGCCAGGCATGGTGGCACATGCCTGTAGTCCCAGCTACTCGGGAGGCTGAGGCAGCAGGATTGCTTGAGCCCAGGAGTTTGAGGTTGCTGTGAGCTAGGCTGACGCCACGGCACTCACTCTAGCCTGGGCAACAAAGCGAGACTCTGTCTCAAATAAAAAAATTTTTTGAAGGAATCTGTAAACCTGATGAACAATGTAGAAATGCTGCTTCTTTATGTCTGATGTTTTCCTTCTTGAGAAGAGAACTCAATTAGTGTAACTGGGGCTCTCGCAGCCCTTTGTTATCCACTCTAAGCGGACTGTTCCACTCACCTCCATCCTCCTTGCTCTTGGGAAGAGAAGCCTGCCCATGAGAACTGCACACTGAGGTCTGCCTCAGTCCAGCCACCTGATTCTGGGGTATAGTCAGCAGGCTCACTGACTCTCATAGGAACCTGCATCCTCCAATCTGATCTCTAACAATAATAAAGGTGATACGTTGACCTCAATATTTACTTTTTGCTTGATTTTTCAATGTGCTCAGGACCTTTGAACAAAGAAAGAATGCTATTATTGAGGTCGCCTTCAGAGATACCAATAAACTACAGTTATGTATCTTAGCAGAGAGGGGAAATTCGAAACCTAACTGCCTGCAGGAGGTTAAGAGACAAACCGAAATGTAGGTTCTACATTTATAATGTAGAACCTACAAAGACTCTGAATTTGGAGGCACTAAGAACACTTAAAGACAAGGGTGAGGGTAAGGCTAAGACAGAAGATTGGTTGAAGTTCATATTAAAAGCAGCTAAATCCTCTTCCCTACTCTGGCCTACATAGGTCAAAATAAAGTTACTCTAAACTCAGAAACACTAGGCATAACTAACGCCAAGTTAGATGTAATGAAAACTGGCAGAAAATGTAAAAATCCATATTTCAAATAATGAGACCCCCTCCCCAAAACCAACTCTCCTTCATTCATCTTACAATTGAGTGTACCTTCAGGTAAAAAGTTAGAATTTTCTTCTCTGGAGAAGTTGACCAACTAAGATACAAGCTCAGAGACACTGACAAATGGTAGGAAATGGCCATATCCCCTCACCATGCAGTCTACCAGTCCATGAGCTTCCACACACGACTACACACACATTTTAAGTGCCTTACTCTTAAATGTGAATGGATAGGTAAGGATCACCAAATATTTTAGAAAGAACTTCCACATAAAAGCAGAAACCAAAGATAAACATATTAAAAAAAGGAACTCAGTCTAGGAGGCCGAGGCGAGCTAATTGCTCAAGGTCAGGAGTTCAAAACCAGCTTGAGCAAGAGCGAGACCCTGTCTCTACTATAAATACTATAAATAGAAAGAAATTAATTGGCCAACTAAAATATATAGAAAAATTAGCCGGGCATGGTGGCACATGCCTGTAGTCCCAGCTACTCGGGAGGCTGAGGCAGTAGGATTGCTTGAGCCCAGGAGTTTGAGGTTGCTGTAGGCTAGGCTGACGCCACGGCACTCAGTATAGCCTGGGCAACAAAATGAGACTCTGTCTCAAAAAGAAAAAAGGAACTCAGAGGAAACAGAGATAAAGCAGGGAGCAGAAGAAAATAACAATAATAATAATTAACCACTAAGTTAATATCATTAAAGTTACATTAAAAAAAGAAGAAATGCTAGGCTGCGGGCAGTAATCCCAGCACTCCAGGAGGCCAAGGCAGGAGGATTGCTTGAGCTCAGGAGTTCGAGACCAGCCTGAGCAAGAGCGAGACTCCATCTCTGAAAATAGAAAAATTAGCCAGACGCAGTGGCTCATGCCTATAGTCTCAGCTACTTGGGAGGCTGAGGCAAGAGGATCGCTTGAGTCCATGAGTTTAAGGTTGCAGTGAGCTATGATGACACCACTGTGCTCTATCCAGGGGGACAGAGCGAGACTCTGTCTCAAAAAAAAAAATGCTATAGAAAGAACTTTGATAGAAGCTTATGAAAATTAAAAATATGAATGCAGAACTTAATAATTAAATTAAGGAAGTGGGAAATAAAGTTGAGGAAATCTCCATGAAAGTAGAACAAAAAGAAATGGAAAAAGGAAAGAAAAGTTAAGGACATTAGAGATCACTCCAGAATATTCAACATACAATTAGCAGTAGTTCCAGATAAAGACAACATAGAAAATAAAATTGTCAAAGACTTATTATGAAGGCCGGGTACAGTGGCTCACACCTGTAATCCTAGCACTCTGGGAGGCTGAAGCAGGCGGATAGCTTGAGGTCAGGAGTTTGAAAGCAGCCTGAGCAAGAGCGAGACCCTGTCTCTACTAAAAATAGAAAGAAATTAATTGACCAACTAAAAATATATATACAAAAAATTAGCTGGGCATGGTGGTGCATGCCTGTAGTCCCAACTACTGGGGAGGCTGAGGCAGAAGGATCACTTGAGCTCAGGAGTTTGAGGTTGCTGTGAGCTATGAGGAAACCACCGCTCTCTAGCTCAGGTGACAGAGTAAGACTCTGTCTCAAAAAAACAAATAAGAGGCGCTCACGCCTAGCACTCTGGGAGGCTGAGGCGGGCAGATTGCTCAAGGTCAGGAGTTCGAAACCAGCCTGAGCAAGAGCGAGACCACCGTCTCTACTATAAATAGAAATAAATTAATTGGCCAACTAATATATATATATATGTATGTATATATAAAATTAGCCGGGCATGGTGGTGCCTGCCTGGAGTCCCAGGTACTCGGGAGGCTGAGGCAGAAGGATTACTTGAGTCCAGGAGTTTGAGGTTGCTGTGAGCTAGGCTGACGCCAGGGCACTCACTATAGCCTGGGCAACAAGTGAGACTGTCTCAAAAACAAAACAAAACAAAACAAAAACAAATAAGCAAACAATAAATAAATAAATAAAGTTTTGCAAGAAAGGAAACCTCATAATACACTCCTTGGATAACTATATTAAGAGGTTGAGGCTAGGAGAAGTATGTGTCAGGAAAGAAATGTTGTGTGAAAGAAATAAAGCTTCATTTTTCATAAACATGTTTTTGAAAACATACTTCATAGCAGTATAAACATGTTTTTGGAAATTTAAGTTAAATACTAGTAGAAACAGTTAAAAAGTTGCAGTGATTGTCTCTAGGAAGTAGGATTTAGATGTAGGAAGAATAAAATGGTTCATTACAGCCTTTGTTAATCTATTGGACTTTTTAAACTATATACCTCTACTACTTTGATAAAAAATTAAACTTAAAAATAACATGAAATAACTAACTGCTAACTTGTGGACTTTCCACAAACAAAATATAGTCAGTAGACCAACAGTCTTTCAACTAATAGCTGCTTTTCTAATTCTGTGATGAAAGACAAGAATACAGTTATATCTATTTATATAGAAATTTAGCATACCAAATCCAAACTTACACAATTATAAGATAGAAAACTTATTCAATGCACAATACCTGTTGACATGATTTTGGTGTACACCTCTGCCATATGTTTTAGTAATTATGTTCCCCTGCTTCTTTACTTATTAATACAGATTAGATTTTTTTTTTTTTTGCCAAGGCTGTGTTTGTGTTTCCACTTAATTTCAGTTCAATCAAGCCAATTGCTTCCACAAAAATACCAATACAAAATCTTAGTGATTAGAGTTGAATGTCATTCTACTGAAATATTCTGAGATTTGATAGAAGTTGGATGACTATTGGTGGATTGTGATACATTTAATTAAGTTTTTCTCCTGCTCAGTTATTTAAGCTGTTTTGATATACAACAGTATTTTGCACTCGTAGAAATTATTTTAGTGTCATACTTTCTCATAAAATGATGGGTTAACATGTATCTTTGAAGAGCTTGCTACACTCACTAATGTAGACTTTACCTATCTTTAAGCCAAAATTTCCCCCAAATTAACTTATCTCTCACTTTATACTGAAAGACCATAAGAAGATAAGAGTCATTGTACAGAAATTTAATCACAATACAAGTGAATTTTATTTCTGCGTGATAGCTGATAGGTCACAAGGGAAAGAAAAATACTGAATTTTTGCCTAGAGGTGGAACACCAATTCTAGGGTCCTTAGTTTACGTTCCTAAAGAAAGAAGAAAAGAGTGATGACTTTGTATAAATACCATCGGAGGAGTATAACCTTTATGGAAGGCAATAAGGCAAAAAATGTAGAAAAACCCTAAAAAGTTCATATCTTAAAGTAAAACCAAAATGATAAACACCTACTTGAATGGCTGCTTTTTTTTTTTTTTTTTTTTGAGACAGAGTCTCACTTTGTTGCCCAGGCTAGAGTGAGTGCCGTGGCGTCAGCCTAGCTCACAGCAACCTCATCTCCTGGGCTCAAGCGATCCTATTGCCTCAGCCTCCCAAGTAGCTGGGACTACAGGCATGCGCCACCATGCCCAGCTAATTTTTTTTTTGTATATATATTTTAGTTGGTCAATTAATTTCTTTCTATTTATAGTAGAGATGGGGTCTCGCTCAGGCTGGTTTTGAACTCCTGACCTCGAGCAATCCGCCCGCCTATGGCCTCCCAGAGTGCTAGGATTACAGGAATAAGCCACGGTGCCTGGCCTACTATGAAGTTCTTAAGGGCAAGGATCATGTCTTATTCATTTTTGTATTTCTGTGGCATGGCATGGTACCTAGCACTGAGAAGAACTTAATATATGTTTGTAAACTAGTAAAGGAATTGCTGTAACCTCAAAGAAAAAGGTGAATGCAAAGAGTGATTCCAGATGGCTGGAATTCCTACAAAGAATGGCAAACTCCTTATTATTAATACCTCTGCTTCTCCCGTTGGTACAAGGCAGTGGTTCTCAAGTGTGGATCCTCAACCACCAGTGTCACCATCAGCTTGGGACCTGTTAGGAATACAAATGTAAGCCTAGACACACACCAGAGCCACAGAAAAAGGAACTATGGGGGTGAGGCCCAAGATCTGTATTTTAATAAGCTTTCCAGGTGATTCTGATGCACACTGACATTTGAGAACCAATGGTGTAGGAAAAAGTTCACTGGTGCCCATGTCCTTGTTCTGGTTTAGTCTAGCAGCTATATGACCAATCATGGCTAAATCCCTAAATCTCTCAAAACTCAGTTTCTACAGGGTAGGGGTTTGGAATAATGTCTGAGAGCCCTCTGCTCTAAAATTCTATAAAATAACAGAGACAGGAAGAAAGTAAATAAATGTTCCAATGACTAGATGCATTCATTCAATCAACAAATATTTATGTACCAGGCAGCATTCTGTTCATAGAAGCAATGCATGACACAAAATGAAGGCCGGCTAGCACTCTGGGAGGCTAAGGCGGGTGGATAGCTTGAGGTCAGGAGTTCAAAATCAGCCTGAGCAAGAGCAAGACCTCGTCTCTACTATAAATAGAAAGAAATTAATTGGCCAATTAATGTATATAGAAAAAATTAGCCAGGCATGGTGGCGCATGCCTGTAGTCCCAGCTACTCGGGAGGCTGAGGCAGTAGGATTACTTGAGCCCAGGAGTTTGAGGTTGCTGTGAGCTAGGCTGACTCCTAGGCACTCACTCTAGCCTGGGCAACAAAGCAAGACTGTGTCTCAAAAAAAAAAAAAAAAAAAAAATGAAGGCCGGATGTGGTGGCTCATGCCTGTGATCCCAGCACTTTGGGAGGCTAAGGCAGGAGGATTGCTTAAGCCTAGAAATTCAAAGTTACAGTAAGCTACAATCAGGCCACTGCACTCCAGTCTAGGTGACAGAGTGAGACCCTAAGACCCAGTCTCTTAACCACTTTGGTACGCCGCTCACCAGCCTCGAAATCTTGCCCACAGCTGGCACTCATAGTCCCCACGATAGTTTGTGCTGTGCATTGATGACGAATCTGTTTTGCTCTTGTGTGATGAGGAAAGCTTTAAAGCACTGAAAGCTTGTTTTACTTTACAGGCAGCTTTACTTGTAATGTAAATCAGAATAGGTAACATATACATATATGTTTTCATTACATTATTTTTAAATGTTCACAATTTTATTTTGATAAATGAAAAATTAGAAAAGTCATATCACGACTGTCGGCTAAAGTCAATGCCCGGCTGTGCGCATTCATCTGTGGCTGTCAACTATAGTCGATGCTCGTACTGAAGTGGTGAAAAAAAAAACAAAACCTAAAATATTGCAATTTATCCTTTATAGGTAAATGAGTTACAATATTTCAAACCACAAGCTTTTACCTGTCCTCTGTTTACAAGATTCTCATACTGTATCTGTTGTGTAATGTGAACTGGAAAAGTGAGAAATGATCCAAGGAGTGCTGACCACCCTCCTCCCCTAAATTATTTTGACTTATTTCTTATAAACACTTTTGAGTTTGCTTAAGGGGCTTCAGTACCAATGTGTTGGAAGACAAGCATGTGATAAATGCGATTACCTACCGAACTAGAACACCTCTGGGTCTCTATTACTTCATGGCACACGGCTTGTTCTTCTAGGAAATCTCATTCCATCTAATCTTGTCTCCTCACGGATCCTCTCTTCTCGGCAATTAGTTATCCGCAGTACTGGAGCTTGAGTAAGTTCCTGTGTGACCATGCTTGTTCCCTTTTGATCTTCCCTTCTTTATTGAACTCTCATTTACTCCACCACACAAACGCAGAGCACTTAGTGGGTTCCTGTAATGCGTTTTAGACTAGTGAGTTTAAATATCTAGGTTAAGACCTTTTAAGAAAACACTAAACAAAAAAGTCACCACACTGGGACACTTTTGATTCTGACTTATTCAAGTTTCAGTGCATTTGCAAGGACAGGAGATGGCGCCAGAAGGCAGTGGAATACTTGGTTTTGGTTTTAAGAGTTTTAGCCAACCCCCAGTGAGAAAAAAAGCTTGAGAGGGAGAAGTCAGAACTGAAACAAAGGTGCCAGAGTTTGAGTAAGAAACAAAGAAAGAGGGGGAGTGAGGATTTTGTCACTTTTTTATTTTAACTTATATATAAGGGTCCTCTTGACACCTACTCCAAATCAGCATGGCTAGAAAGCAACAACACAAATAACTACAGCAAAGCCAAAGAATAAATAAAGTCAATCCCCAGAGAACGGTGCTTGCCTCCTCTCTCCCTCTTTCTTAGAAAACAGGGCCTTTGTCCATTTGGGAAGCACAAAGGCCTGGAGGATCCCAGAATCAGGGAAGTGTTGATCTGAGGCTAAGCTATCTTTGTGAAAGAATGTTCAACTGTTTAGGCAAAATCCCAAATCCCACCAGCAGGGAAATACTTCCCAGAAGGAATCACACACAAAAATGTTTCAATAAAATTTTTAAATTCATAGAGGAGCCGGGAGGTGGCGCTGGGCAAGAGATTACCTGCCTTGGGAGTCTGAATCCTCAGCCCCTGTGGCTCCAGGGAACTCTGTCCTGGCAGAGGTCATTCTGTCCAGACGTCTTCTTTCCTACTAGACCTCTTCTTTCATACCAAGCTATCTCTGCCTTCTTTCTTTTTTTCTGTTCCTTTGTGTTAACTACCCTGATTCCGCAGAAGTCCAATTTATACTTTAAGCCTTTTATTCTTCTTAGATGGGATGGATGGAGCTTTGGAGGAACCTCAAAACACAAAACTTTCCTGTAGGGGAAAAATAATTCGGAGGGTGATAAGAGAATAAAAAAGGAAATGACATCTGCAAAATAGCTTTGCTTTGCAGATCAATCACAGGGGACAGAAAGGCATGGTGAGTGCCTGTCTCTGCAGGAGCTGATGATCCAGCACATGCATTATTCTGTTCATTTGGCTTTTATCCTGCTCCCTTATTTAGCTTCTGCTCCCTTTGTTTGGCTATTTATTGCTACTCAGCAGGAGCAAGGAGGGCAGAGGGAGCTCAAATGGGTGCATCCTCCCGGCTGGTAACTCTGGTGAAGAGCATGGAGGAGAAGGAGGTTTTATGTCTGGCTTCAAATTATCTGTGGGTTTCACATTCTCTAATGAGGGATTTAGGATGTACATTCCAATCGGGATTTCTAGGCCCATTGGGGAGCACACACCAGCCCACATTCCTGAGACGCGCAGCCTCAATGCTCCATTGGCCCAGCTCTTTGGTGGCAGGTTTCACTCAGTTCCACTTGTCCTGCATTGGCCCTTTGTTAGGCAGGAGGGAAGACCCTGGGCCCCGCTTCCATCTGGATCACATGGTCTCTCTCTCTCTCTCTCTCTCTCTCTCTCTCTCTCTCTCTCTCTCTCTCTCTCTCTCGGGTCCCTCCCCTCTCCTTCTCTGGAGTCCGCCTTTTTCTGCTGGTGGAAGTGATTGTGACTAAAGTCTCCCCATCTTTCTTCCTGCCCCGGCCTCTCTGCCAGGGGTCAGTGTCCTCTTCAGTGACAAAAGCCGCCCTAGATCTGTGCTCCCTGGGGAGGGAGGTGGCTGGGTCTGGCAGTCAGAGCCGCTGTCTCTCCATGGTGCTGCTGCAGCCCCTCCCCCGCTGGACACACAAATGGGCTTTATCCAGCAAACAAAACCGCCCCCCTTCAGGCCACATAGGCACGTGGACCCAGGCCTCACCGTGGGAAGGGGGTGGTGACAGGCACAAGAGAAGAGATCGCTCCAGACAAGTCCTCCTTGCCTCATTTCTCTTCTTATTTTCCACAAAGTATGTTTTAGTCCTTGAATTCCCACCCCTCGCCTGCACCTTGAGTCCCCAACTCCTTGTTATATATCTGAGAACTCTGGACTCCTCCTATTATATCCGGGCAGCTCAGATTCTACAGGGGATCGGAAACAGGTCACCCCACCTTTCCCCCCAAGGAGCTGCTCCTCAGAGAAAACAGCGGGGAGAATACAGTGTTCTCTGGAGGGCACAGGAATGGACCCCAAAGCCCCCCTTCCTTGCCCTCACCTGCTCCAGGGGACACCCGTCTGAGCGGCGGCGGTGTGAATAGCAGAGGAGGGAAGAGTTCACTCCAGCTGGGCTCCTGAGCCAGGGCCAGGGCTCCGGTGAAACCCGTGGAGCTCCAGATCCTAGTGGGGCCATCCTGCATACCTAATCGGCTATTTAAGGAGCTGCTCACTAGCAGCCCAGGCGGCCCCCCCTCCCCACATACACCCGTCCAGAGCCACCTTAAAAGCAGGAGGCAGTTGTGAAGTCGCTGGCCAGCAAGTGGAGTGAAGACTGCAGAGGGAGATAGAGACAGGGCAGAGAGAGGGAGAGGCAGCAGGAGATTTGTCCTGGGGACCTAGAAATCCACAGTACCCTACTAAAAACCAAATCCCCTGGAAGTACACAGACAGAGACAGCAAGAGAAAAAGAGATAAATACACTCAACGCCAGAAACTCTCCTCTCTCTCTCTCTCTCCCCCCATCTCTCCCCCCCTCTCTCTCTCTCTCTCTCTCTCTCTCTCTCTCTCTCTCTCTCTCTCTCCCCCCTGCCTCCCCTAGTCCTCTAGTCCCTAAACTCCCAGTCCCCTGTTGCCCCTTCCTGGGATACCATGTTGTTCTTCGCCCTCCTGCTAGAGGTGATTTGGATCCTGGCTGCAGATGGGGGTAGGTACACTGGATGTCTCTGTGTGGATGTGTGCTGATGTCCACATGTCGCTATGTGTGTTTAATGGGGGGGAGGAAAGGTATAAAAGGAAGCCTAGAGGCTGGAATAATAGGCTCGAAAAGAGAGTGTGGAGACCACTTCCCTGCTTTTCTCTTTGCCTTCCCAGCCTTGCAGTTACTGGGGATGGGGGAGAACAAGCTCCGGGTAGGGCAGGGTATATACACACACAAGTGCTGGAATCTCTTTGCAGGCTACGGATTTTCTCCAGAGCTCTTTCCCCCTCTGCCCTGGTCTCATGCAGCCCTCCTGGCTTGCTTTATTTACGAACTGCTCCAGTTAGGGAGTCAAAGAGGCCTGGAGTGAAAGGCTAGAGAGCTGCTTGGGGTGGGGGGAGCATACCCCCTACACCTCCTGCCCGACTTAGACCCTGATCTCCAGTGGATCCCCTCATGGCCAAGGGTCCCTCTTGATCCTAAACTAACTTCCCAGTTTTCCCCTGAAAGCAGTAGCAATCATGTCAATATTTGTTTGGTACTTTATAGTTTACAAAGGACTTCCAGGAGCTTCCAGGAGATGAGAAAAGATTCTTGGTAGAACAGGCTGAGGTGTTCCAGGAGTGTCCCCAGGGACCCTTACACCTCATTTTTGTGTTTCCCGTGCCTAGCACAGTGGCCAGCACATAATAGGTGTGTAATTGAGGTCTGTTGGAAGAACGGGGTGAGGGGGGTGTCCAGAGAGCAGATGGGGAAGGAAGAGAAGGTGATGTGGGGTGTTGGGGGGGCAGGAAGTGGGAGCCAAATGGAGAGTAGCAAATCTCATCTGAGGAAACAAAAAAAAATAGGTAAAAGATGTAGAATCAGTGTGCTGAGGATTTGATGGGAGGGAAAGGGTGGCTTCACAGAACCAGGGAACTCCAGTTGTTGGGGTGTCCCACAGAGCTAGAAAACCAGAGGCTGCCTCCAGCCCTCCCTTAGGCTGCTTTTCAGACTTGTCCAAACCTAGGAGTGGGCCAGCAGAATAGATCAAGGATGAGATCCAGGATATCTTACAAGGCGGAGGAACTTAAAGGCTTAAAGAAATAAGAGACAGAGGGGAAGAATTTAGGATTTTTCTCCAGAGTTTCTATCAATTTGAATATTGCAGCGAAAACCCACAAGGCCTCCCTTTTCTTCTGGAGGCCGTTTGGCCCTGGGTAGGGGCTGGACCAGCAGACCCCCAGCCTTTCAGCCAGAGACCGGACTGCATGAGAGCCTGGCATGTGACCCAGCTGGCAGCTCCCTTTTCTACACACAATGCTTCACTGTCATCCTGCCCCTGCTGGCCTGGCTGCCTGTGCTCACCCACCATTCTCAATCTAGAGTAGACCCTGCCCCGACTCCCCTCTTCCCTAGCCATCCGGGAATGTAGGGAGCAGAAGCTCCTGGTTACAAGGGGTTTCCTCTAGAGCTACTAGGACCAGAAAGGAAGAACTTAAATACTAACTTACAACTCAGTGGCTTGATTCATACATTGCTTCAAAGCAAAGGAGTAATCCCCTTTCCCCCCTCAGCAGTCCCCCTGTGTCTGTGTGTGGGCATGCTCACACACACTCTCGCTGAACTTCTTTCCCCTTCCCTCTTTCTAGTCCCTTTCCTCCAAACCCTTTGCCCACACCCTCACCCCAACCCACTCCAATCTTCTAAGTGTTAGATTGACTTGGCACAGGTTAGAGAAGAGTAATGGCTGGGCCAACAGCACATTTGGATCCAGGTTAATTTTAGTCTCCCAGCTTTCTCTCTTTTCATTCCTCCTCCCCTTTGTCCTTTAGCAAGCACAAGCACAGCCTGGCTAGCGATTTTAAATAGCGGCCCCCCACCACCACCTTTCCATGGAGGTGTCCAGTTTCAGGGCTTCCTTTGGGAAGTGCCTGAGTAGAGGGACGAGGGGGAGCCGAGAGGGAGGTGGAGCTAGAGTTCCAAGGGAGGGGAGAGTTTAGGCCAGGGCACTGCCCCAGGCTGTGCTGGCTGTAACCCAAACTATTCTGCCTTGCAGGTCAACACTGGACATATGAGGGTGAGAGCAGAACTTGAGGCCTACTGATGCCGCTTTCACACTGGGACCTCCTCACCTGGCAGAAAGATATGTCGTGGGTGGAGAGGTTTCCTTTAGCTTCTCACCCTAGCTGCTCTCCTTTGGGTCTCTTCATGCCCTGGGTTTCTCATACTTGGATGCTGAGTAAATCAGCATTGGTCCTGAGTAAATCCATGTAGGAATGAGGGAGCCAGAGTGGAATGGAAACCGGGTGGGGAAAAGAACTTGGAGCTTAGCTGCCTGATCTCCTTCTGGCTCTTTCTGTCCTACTCATAACCTGCATCTGGAATTGGGACAGAGCTGGAAGTCAGGGGTGAGGAAGAGGCTGGCAGGATAGTTTGTGGCCCTGGGGGAGGTGGAACTCAATTCCTATGAACTGTTGCTTTATGACTTAACTGAACTCCAGGGTCCATGCAGGGCCAAGGTCTAAAGATTGTGTGAGAATAAGAAGTGAATGATGGAAAGTCAAGATATCTGAATCCCAAGGCCACTTGATAGGGGGCCCCAAGGAGGCCCCCTCTCTCTAGGATTATTTTATTTCCCCTCATTTTTCTACTTCTACTCCCTAAACCCACCTCTCTGGGTATTCAGGCTTTCTATCCATCCCCTCTTCCCTTCATTTAGCTTTCTTGTTCTCAAACTAGAGGTAAGTAAAAGAGCTGCCACTCCCCATTTATCAGAATAGTTGGGGAATCATCACCGCCTCTGGGTAGGTGAGAGGAACTGCAGCATGAAGTCCAGCAGGGACTCCTACCTACCCAGCCCTGCACAACTGGGGGCTTGACCTGGGTGGAGGGAAATGCATTTATACCTCCACACAGATCTATAACTTGGTTTGGGGTGGGGGTGGGGTTGAAGGGTGGCTGGAGCAAGAGGGCAGGACCAATGTCCTTGGTAACCCCCACCAGGCCCACATGGTCAGGACCATTGGCCAGCCTCTTACCCTGAGTGTGGGAGCAATGCCCAGTCCCCCATTGACATCCAGACAGACAGTGTGACATTTGATCCTGAGTTGCCTGCTCTCCAGCCCCATGGATATGACCAGCCTGGCACGGAGCCTTTGGACCTGCACAATAATGGTCATACAGGTAAAAGCAGTTGTAGTCTCCTCCAGTTCAAATCTTAGGAGTCAGAGGAAAGAAGTAATCTCCTAACTTGTGAATAATCAGAAAGCTTCACTCATTAATTTGGAGATATGAGAATGGAGATCAGACTCCTATAGTATGATTGAGCCTGATTGGTAGGTTACTATCATAGCATTGACTTGATCTTCACTGAGACAAGGGGAGATGTGCCAGAAATGCACTGGCCTATGGGAGGAACTGGGTGCTTCTGGGGGAGGAAATTAGAAGAGGAGGGCCTGGTCTCCCAGAAAGTGATGCCAAACCAGGGGTGGGAATGTGCCCACATTCCTCCACCAACCCTAGCTTGCTCTTTTCCTCACAGTGCAACTCTCTCTGCCCCCTACCCTGTATCTGGGCGGACTGCCCCAAAAATATGTAGCTGCCCAGCTCCACCTGCACTGGGGTGAGAAAGGATCCCCTGGGGGATCAGAACACCAGATCAACAGTGAAGCCACAGCTGCCGAGGTACCAGGGAACAGAGCTTGGACTAGGACAGTGACAGGGATGATCAGTCCTGGGGAAAGGAAAGATCTGGACACTGGGAAAAGTCATACTGGAAGTATAAAGTCCAACCTTATCCTTATCACTTGCTGAGGGTGGTGGTGGTGGCAGCTTCAAGGATCAAGGTCCCAAAGGGGCTGCAGAAAAATAATTCAATTTCCTTTCCTTTCCCTCAGCTCCACATCGTCCATTATGACTCTGATTCCTATGACAGCTTGAGTGAGGCTGCTCAGAGGCCTCAGGGCTTGGCAGTCCTGGGCATCCTAATTGAGGTCAGTGGCCCCCAATTTATTCTAGGTCCTTTTCCACTTCTTCTATCAGACGTATTCTGTTGCTGGCCTCCCTCCCAAGGCAGGCAGCAATGCACCTTGACAATTTATTCTGTACATGAAATGTTTTATTCCAAACGTGGACTCATTCCAAACTCTCTCCCTTTCCTCCCCTTGCAGGTGGGTGAGACTAAGAATATAGCTTACGAACACATTCTGAGTCACTTGCATGAAATCAGGCATAAAGGTGAGCCTAAAAAACTATAGCACGAGCAAGTGAGACTAGACTTCAGAGAAACTTTCAAAAACTGACTTAAGAAGCCTTGGGAGGAGGCACTAAGTTAAGGCCAGGGAGTTTAGCTTCTGGAAGCCATATGTATGTAAGCTAGGACACAGTGAGAGGAAGATGAGTCCTGGTCTGTTCTTCCCAGATCAGAAGACCTCAGTGCCTCCCTTCAACGTGAGGGAGCTGCTCCCCACAGAGCTTGGGCAGTTCTTCCGTTACAATGGCTCGCTCACAACTCCCCCCTGCTACCAAAGTGTGCTCTGGACAGTCTTCAGTCAAAGGGCCCAGATTTCAATGGGGCAGGTAAGTGGTGGAGAGGTGAGGTGAGAGACAGCTGTAACTTCAGACCCTTTCCCACTCCCCAAAGTGGCACTTCTCCCACTCTTCTACTCCTCAGCTGGAAAAGCTCCAGGAGACATTGTTCTCCACAGAAGAACCCTCCAAGCTCCTGGTACAGAACTACCGAGCCCCTCAGCCTCTCAATCAGCGCACGGTCTTTGCTTCTTTCATCCAAGGTGACTGTGCAGGGCTCAGAAGAGGAGATGGGAAATTGAGGGACTCAATGGCAGGACCTAGGGAGCCCCTGGGAAGGAAAAGGCTAAGAAGGGAAGGGGTTTTCAGGACTAGGTTAGACTGGGAACTCCCCCCTCCTCAGTGATCTTCCCAGGCATAGCAGTGTTGCCCCCAGCTGGGATGGGGAAGTCCCACTGACCCAAGTTCTCTTCCCTTACAGTGGGATCCTTGTATACCACAGGTAAGACAGCCCTACCCAGGTACTACAAATGCTCTCAGCAAGTGGAGGAAAGGCTCAATATCTGTTAGTCCTACACTGACACCTCCCATCTTTATCTCCCCCAGGTGAAATGCTGAGTCTAGGTGTGGGAATCTTGGTTGGCTGCCTCTGCCTTCTGTTGGCTGCTTATTTCATCGCTAGAAAGATTCGGTGAGGTCCTACTTTCCATTCCTCCAGTCCTTTCTCTTCTATTAAAAAGCATTCTCTTAACCCACCTCTAATCTGCTTCACTTAGGACACCAATCATTCCCATGAACCATTCCCCTTTCCAGGAAGAAGAGGCTGGAAAACAGGAAGAGTGTGGTCTTCACCTCAGCACGAGCCACCACTGAGGCATAGAGTACCTCTCAAGATACCGTGGAGATGGATGCCTTTCCCTCACACCTATCAGGGAGCCAGAAAATACTTAGTAGGCAGACATCCCTTCTTCCTCTGGATTTCCCTGACAGAGAGGTATGAACCCAGGCTCTCATTCAAGGAGGAACAGCAGAGCCTTCAGCCTCTCAAAACATGTATGAGATCAGGAGATCCTGTGCTGGTAATGCAGAGAACACACTGTTTAGTTGTAGGGGAAGTTTGGGATGTGCCCCAAAGCCCCTCAACCTTTATGTTTCTTTTCCTAGATATTTTGCAGGATCTCCCCTTAGGAAAAAGAACTGTTAGGGTTATATATTTTTGCTCAATATATTTGGAAATCAAAGTTTCTGACTTTAATTCTGGTCTGTCCTTTAGGTCTCTTGAGGGTGGACAAGTTCCTTATCTCTCAGGTGATAGAGATGGGCGAAGGATAGAGAATAAGAAACATGGGTGATTAACTCCTTTCATCTCATCCGTGGGAGAGAAGATTCACTTTTGGGAAAACATTTAACTCAAAGTTTCTGACAGGTTCAACCACCAGCCTAGATTTCTGCCCTTGCACCAAAGCTATGTTTGGAGATCAGTAGTTGCCAGGTTACAAAAGAGGCTGGACAAGAAACATGAGAGGGCAGAAATCTCAATTAACATGTTATTCCCTCCCTTAAAAGCCAAGTTCCCCCACAATTACAAAGTCCTTTTTATTAGTCAAAATCACAATCACCGTGATTAAAAGGATGGGACACTCCACCCTCAGCAGAAAATGTTACAGTTTATAGAAAATGTCCCCATCCCTCCCACACCCCAATTAAAAACTAGAAAAAATCTGCCCCCCTTCTCTACAATGTCATGGTAGTCTGACTCCTCCAGTGGCACTATAGCTCTGGAGTGGGCCAGCTCACCACAGCACCCTCCACTTCACCTTGGGGAGAAGAGGGATGCTGGTGGTCAAGGAGGTTAAAACCATTAGTTCCAGTAATGCCAGTTCCCAAACATGCACTTCCTCCCTTCCCCCCCTGGCCCTGGGACCAAGGGGAAATGGACAGAAATGAGCCCAGCCATGAGGAGCAATTTGAGGAGAGAAAATAGAACCCAAGGAGGTTAGAAGAGTTCCAACATACTTCCTCCCTCCCCCTACTCAAAAAAGGAAAAAAGGCAGTTTGGGGTCTTTATCACACCCTCAGACCTGAGAAAAAGACCAAGATGTTCAGTCTGGGGAGAGGGTACTGGGAAACTCAGAGCTCATCTACCCTTGAGCCTCCATTAATTTCATCTCCACAGCAATGGCTAAACTAGGTCCCTTTTCATGGTAACCTGCACTGTCCAGAACTGGAGATGGAGAATACAGGGCGAGGAGATCAGGAGGGCACTCCAGGCCCAGGGGTCCCCCCCAGGTTCCCTCAGTCCTCGGGTGGGATGCGCAGGGCAGAATACACCATCACCCGACTGTCCTCCTGCCGTCGGCCTGCAGAGGGGAAGGGCGGTGAGTCTTGGGCAGGGTGAGAGCAGAGCACTGACACATGGGGAGTCCTGGACAACAAGGGGTTCCCCAGGTGGTGGGGATAAGTGCAGATTCAAACCCACCAGTCACTGACTGGCTGAACCCAGGTTGCTCCTGGTAAAGCTTAGAGACTAAAGGTGACAAATGGACAAAGCAAAACCCTGAAGGTGGTGGGATAGACCAATGAGAAGGAGACAGAGAATGTGGGTAAATGGACCCAGGCTGGGGCTAGGCTCAGTCATGGGCAGTGGACAAGCAGGTGGGATCTTTCAGGCGATCAGTCCAGGTAGTCAGTCCTTACACGAGAGGCTGCGCTGGATACTTCTGAAGGACCCTCCAGCTGTGATGAAGGCCCAGAGCCCCATGGAAACAGTTACTGCATAGATGGGCAGCAGGCTGGCCTCATACCAAGGGTTCAGGAATGTCTAGGAATGAGGGTAAAAGTAGAAAAGAGATTAGATTCTCCCACCCCCCCCCCAATCCCTACATATTCTCTTTGTGCCTTTGACTCAGACCTCCTCCAGATATCACTCTCAAATTCCCAGTCTTTCCCTTTAGAGCACCACCATCTTGTGGTTAAAGGGACTTTTGATTTTCAGCTCCCTCAAAGGTTTCTGCCACTCCTGCTCATAGGAGTGCATATAGTTTGGCTAATCCATTCAAACTCCTCTCCAGAGTAGGTGATATAATTGATGCTGAGGTGAGACACCTCTAAAGACTTACCTTTCCACCTCCTCCCAAGTTAAAAATGTTAAGTGAGGCTTCTTCCCTCCCTCCCTCCCTTCCATCTTTTCATTTTTTTTTAAAGCCAGTGAAATTTACTAGTGGGGCATTGAATACCAACTTGAATGACACTAATGTGAATAAGTTCTGATGACTACCACTGGACCAGCCTTTTTTTCTATCTTTTATTTTTTTAATGACCAAGACTGATGATGAACACTGCCTGCCTCTCTTACTCCACAGAGCTGATGGGTGAAGACCCCAGAGTGTGGCCTAGGCGGGACGTGTCTCCGTATTACAAAAACATTACTTCACTTTCATCTCCTGCACCCCACCCACCCCCACCCCCACACCCCACAACCACTTGACAACCAGGAACGGTGGTGATATGTATCTCCTCATCGACATCTTATGATTTATGGGACGGGGTCGGAGGAAATACTGGTCCTGTAGAAACACTCCCTCGCTCCACCAGTGGCTCTCTCGGCCAACTAGGGTCCTTCCTTGCGTCCCAGAACTTTATTCTGCTCTCCCTCCTGGTGGGTAGTAGTGCCGTAGTAGTATGGCGGCGGCGCTATAATTCTTCTATATCTTTTTCAATTGGGGGATTTTAACTTTTTAAATGTATCATTGTAAAAACCAAAGATGCTAGCACTCTGGGAGGATCGCTCGACCTCAGGAGTTCAAGACGAGCCTGAGCCAGAGTGAGACCCTGTCTCTACTATAAATAGAAAGAAATTAGCCAAACAACTAAACAAACAAAAAAAAATGTTAAGTAAGGACATACTTTTCCCCACATCCCATTCACCATTAAACACTTGTCTCCCTGATCCAGGCCCCTGTCTCCAACTCACCAGTCCCGATGTCAGTAGGTGACTCCCAACCACCAGGCCCAAAGCCCAGTACCGTCTCCTCTCACAGGCATCAAAGAACACAACTCCCCAAAAGGTATGGAGCAGGATAATGGCTGCTGTCAGAAAGGCTGCAGGGAGGGAGATGGTGATGAGATACATCCCTGATCTTCTCCCAGCCACCTGAGATGCTGAGCCAAAGAAGTCTCCCAGGGAAGGCCAATAAATCAGATCAGAGACAGGGATTAATGGGACATGAGAGTGAGATAGGAATTGGGTCTTACCTGAAGTTAGGAAGTAATAGGGTGAGTCTCCATGGATCCCAACCACACCTGGCCCAAGTGCATCAGCCAAAATATTGATAACAGAGAAGACACCACTGATGATACCGAAGGAGAGACCAGAAACTGGAGGAAGGGAGGGTCTCATCAATGTCAGAGAACACTATGGCCTGTTTACTACTGACTCCTCCCCATTCCCAGTCACAATTCTTCCACACCTACTCTCCCTCCAGACCACCTCTGTTTGGAAGTGAGGTATGAAGGAAAACAAGAAGCCATTTAGAACATGTAGATGTTTAGAGACTTCCCTAGGGTAGGGGGTTGTCCAACTCCCTCCTCCAATCCCTCTCCCTTGGCTCACCATAGGCCATCTGGCGGATGGAGATGGGTGATCTTCCGTCCTCACTCAGCGATGCTAACCCCTCATCTGCCTTCCTGGGGTGGGGTGGGGTAGGGGAAACATGAGGGAAAGCAAGGATGCTCCTTTCCCTCTAATGTCTTCCCTTAGTGCCTCCTCTTCCAAACCACCACCCAGGGGCTGTTTCACTTCCCATAGTGCAATCCTCGGCCCCTCTCCCCTCCAGATCACCTCATCTTCTTACTTAAGCAGCTTATAGTAGGCAAAGCGAAACACCTCCTGTAGAAGGACAGAGACTGCAGCACCAAAAATCAGGAGGCCATACTGGAGCCGGGCATCTGACCGGTCTGTTACATGGACCAAGATGAACCAGACCACAGAGGCCAGGAGCAGGGAGACCAGCCAGAAAAATGCCCTGAGAAAAGATAAGGGCAATGAGATAGGCAATGGTAGGGGCAGCCGGAAAAATCAAGGTGGGGAACCTGCCAAGGCTGCAGCATGAAAAGTGGAAGTTGGACTTCTGGATGGTTAGGGAGACAGGGCCCAGACATGGTAGGTGTCTCCATCAAGGGACTCATCTGTAGAAATCTGGACGGAGGAGAAGGGGTAGATATCTGATTAAGGAGCATTCACAGCGACAAGAGTCAGAGTGTGAGAGCACGAAAGGGCTAGGAATCCATTCCTGGATCCTCCCTTAGGGCACCTGACTCAGCTGGCCGAGGTCAGCAGAGTCTTGGCCTTAGGCCTCCTCTCATGTCCCCAGGAGAAACATAGGAGGAATCTGTGCGATCACTGGAAAGCGGAAACCAATTGCGGGAAAGGGCAAATCACTCAGACTCCCCCACCGGCGTTAAACCTTCACCCACGACTCATCTTCCCCAACTCAGGCTCCCAGGCTCGCCCCAGTTCCTCCAGCCCCTTCCGCATCCCTTTCTTCAACGCTCTCTCGCGTCCCCTCGACCTCCTACTCACCCCGCAACCAGGATGATAACGCGAAGCGGGTCCCCAGCCACAGTGATTAAGAAAAGCGCGAAGGCCGGGCCGAACGCGACGAAAGTGCATCCGAAAAACACCGCAGCCCCCATTGCTGGGCAGCCGGGGGCGGGGTAGAGCTCTGGCCAAGAGAGGCGAATGCGAGGAGCGCGCCAACTGGGAGTCCGCGTGGAGTGGCAACGCGACCCCACAAGGGGCGCGGTGCAATGTCACCCCCAGACCCCGGGGAAGGGGAAGGGGGGGCACCAGAACCCCAGATGAAGGTCCGCGCTACTTCCTCTACGGAAGCCGAGAAGGGGACAAACCCCGGCTGCAGCCCCATGGCCACCTCCCATCTAATCCCCACCCCCGGAAGGCCAATGGAGAATCGGCGGGGGCGGAGCTGCGGGGGGCGGAGGCGTGGCTGCACGACCGGCTGGGAGTTGTAGTCGCCCTGCCCTCGGAACCTTCGACCTCATTCTGGGAAAGGCTCTTGCGCGTTAAAGGGGGTGGGCCGGAATGGCCCAGTCAGGGCATGGATTCCCGGGTTCACTTACGCCTTGGCGGCGGTTTCCTTTGGTTACTCTGTGGGATTGGGTAGTCGTTAATCCTATCTCTTCTTGAAGGGCTGCAGAGGGGGAAGATCCTGTTTGAATCTAAGGGACAAATACAAAGAGAGCACAGGATAGAGGGTGCAGGGAGATAGGGATGGGTATTGTTCTTACTTGAATGAAAGGAAATGGGCTAGAGCTGCTGCCTAAGGGATGAAGGTTAGATTTAAAAGTAGCTCTTTGGACAGGCTAGTATAGTAAACATGGAATACCATGTATCATTAGTGAAGCCCTTCATCTGCAATGACAAGAGAATCAGAGAGAAGCAAGAGGAGCCTGGAGAGAAATGTTAGGGAGACGTTTATAGGGAATCAGGAGTTAAAAAGCAATTAGAGCAATGGGGTTGAAGGAAAAGGACATGCCCCCTCCCTCGAGTTCCTTTTATGTCATATTTCCTCTATTTATTTTCGAAAAATGAACCTGAGTGGTGTCTTTTCCTCAGGCTGGAGAGAGAGGTTGCATATATTAGAGTGAAAGTTAAAGTAGGAGAGGAGGGTATTGTAACCTCATTTGGATGGAGAGAATGTTTAGTCAAAGAAAGGGAATGGGAGGGAATCTCATCTGAGGTTGGGAAAGTGAGGGAATCTGGAATATTGTTTGGTTTGTTTGTTTGTTTTTGATACAGAGTCTCGCTTTGTTGCCCACGCTAGAGTGAGTGCCATGGCGTCAGCCTAGCTCACAGCAACCTCAAACTCCTGGGCTCAAGCAATCCTGCTGCCTCAGCTAATTTTTTCTATATATATTAGTTGGCCAATTAATTTCTATTTATAGTAGAGACGTGTCTCGCTCTTGCTCAGGCTGGTTTTGAACTCCTGACCTTGAGCAATCCACCCGCCTCAGCCTCCCAGAGTGCTAGGATTACAGGCGTGAGCCACCGCGCCCGGCTGGAATATTGTTTTTGAGTATATAATCCAAGTACAAAAAAACCATAGAAATTGTTCAATGAGAACCAGGCTTCCTTTCCTTCCTGCAAGTGCTTTATGATTTAATATATATGTATACACCCACATAGGTGTTTTACATTTTTTCCAGGAAATTCTAGAAAAGAGCTGAGGAATAGATTGTATAGATTTACATGGAAAGTCACCAAGCACATCATTCTCCAATAAGGTTAAGAGGGTGGGTGCCACTGGCCAGTGCTCAAGACTCCTGTGTATCCTGCTTCTGAGCCCAGCAGTCTGAGTCAGGTGAAGAAATAGGGATGGAGACAACTCTTCCTCAACTATCCAACTAACCAGAAGATGGTCAGCCATCTTCTGACCACTGAGCGCAGGCTCTAAACCTATCTTGTTCATGGGTGGTTCCACAGAGACTTGCACCGTGCCTGGCTGGCTCACAGTAGATATTAGGAGTAGATACTTTATTTAACTCCCTTTAAAAAAAATTGCCCAGGTGTGGTGGCTCACGCTTATAATCTCAGTGCTTTGGGAGAGAAATGTTAGGGAGACGTTTATAGGGAATCAGGAGTTAAAAAGCAAGGCAGGAGGCAGGAGGATCATTTGAGGGCAGGAGTTCAAGACCAGCCCAGGCAATATAGCAAGACCCCATCTCTACCAAAAACATAAAAAATTAGCCAGGCATGGTGGGGCATGCCTGTAGTCCCAGCTACTCAGGAGGCTCAGGTGAGATGATCCCTTGAGCCCAGGAGTTCGGGGCTGCAATATGCCATGATTGCACCTGTGAATAACTACTGCACTCCAGCCTGGGCAACATAGCAAGACCCCATCTCTAAAAAAAAAAATAAAAAACCCTAAAAACAACAAAACTATGTTCTCCTATACCCTTGCCCGTGAGCTCTGAATTGCCTATTGGACTAGGCCTAACACATATCTTGCTAAATGTTTCTGAATTTAATGAAAATGGGAAACATAAAAGCAGAGGGAAGAGTTCAGGCCTGGTGGTTCACGCCTGTTATCTTAGCACTTTGGGAGGCTGAGGCAGGAGGATCACTTGAGCCTAGGAATTCCAAGCTGCAGTGAGCTATGATCACGCCACTGCATTCTACTTCAGGCATCAGACGGAGATCCTGTCACACAAAAAAATAAAGCAGAGGAAAGAATAAAAACTCTATTCCTGTAGGTCTGAATGAGGGGAGCATACCAAGTGACTGAAAGTGGGAGAGGGTGTGGCACCTACAGCAGGGAAAGAGACTTATCTGCTTCCTCCCTTCTTCCATCCTGTGTCTAGGAAATTGAGAAAAAGGTGAGGTGAGGTCATTATTACCAGAGAGGAAATAACTTACCATGGCTGAGAGATTTTTATCAGAAGCCATGCAGCAGGTGCTTTCAGAGTCAAACAATGATGGGTAAATGTTGTGCATATCCTTCATAGCCCTAGACAGGCAGAAGAAAGGGACTGTTTTCAGTTTAGAAAAATGCTCTCCCCTTCCTCAGAACATTTCTACTGTGATCAAAGAGACTACGAATAAACCTCAGACAGAAGGGCAACTCTGGATTGTGATGGTAAATTAGGGACAGTGAGCCGGGTACACTGTAATCCTAGCACTCTGGGAGGCCAAGGCAGGAGGACTGCTCGAGATCAGGAGTTTGAGACCAGCCTGAGCAAGAGCGAGACCCCGTCTCTACTAAAAGTAGAAACAAATTAGCCGAACAACTAAAAACATACATAGAAAAAATTAACTGGGCATGGTGGCACATACCTGTAGTCCCAGCTACTTGAGAGGCTGAGGCAGATGGATCGCTTGAGCCCAGGAGTCGCTAGGCTGACGCCATAGCACTCTAGCCCAGGCAACAGAGTGAGACTCTATCTCAAAAAAAAAGTTAGGGGTAGTGAGAGGGAGGGTGAGCTTTATGTGAGTCCTGGGAGAAAGGAAGGAAGGAAAAGAGAGGAGAAGGGAAGCTCCTTAGTAGACCTTTTTCTTTTTTGTATTGGCAGTAGTAGTCCCAAATAGATCTAATCCAAGGCTGGGGAGCTTAAAACATGTTCTCATCAGAACTTACTTTTCTTTTTTTAGAGACAATCTTGCTCTGTCACTCAGGCAGTGGCATGATCATGGCTCATTGCAGCCTCAAGACTTTTTGGTTCAAGGGACCCTTCTGCCTAAGCCTCACTAATTTTTCTTCTTCTTCCTCTTCTTCTTCTTTTTTTTTGTACAGATTGGGGTCTCACTATGTCAGCCAGGCTGGTTCTTGAACTCTTGGCCTCAAGCGATCCTCCTGCCTCAGCCTTCCCAAGTGCTGGGATTACAGGCATGAGCCACTGTGCATGGCTAAAACCTACTTTTGCCTCTCTCAATCTGAGCAACTGTGGTTAAGAACCGGTAGTAACTGAGGAGCTAGTCAGTCAGCAAGTAGGCGGAGAGTTCTGCCCCCTGGGAGAAGTGTTGCTGCAGCTCCTTCCCAGCTTTGCAGGAGGAGGGGGGCGGGGTAAGTTTGGGGGAAACGCTGTAATTTCCTTTTTTACTTTCACAGCAATAGTACAGAATCCAGAATGGATGTCCTCTTGGTAGCTATCCTTGCTGTGCCACTTATCCTGGGTAAGTCGTCTTCTCTCCCTAAGCTTTTGTGCCAGATCTTCTACCATAAATGAGGTGGGAGAAAAAAAATAAGGAGAGGGTGAGAGGTGCATTTCGATGGGGACTTATATAGAGCTTTTTCATCTGTGCTAGGGTCTGGTGTTGGGGGCAGAGCGGAGATCTGGAAGGGAGAGCCAGGAATAAGAGAGGAAAGCACAATCCTGTCAAAGAAGAGAAGGTTTCCGGAGGATAGAGCCCCAGACTCTGGGAGGTCCTAGCAAGAGCGAACTCAGTTCGCCATCACCAAAAGTTGAACAAGATGAGAGGGACTAAAGTGATAGTGAAGGAGAGAGGTGTATTCTTGGAAGGTGGGACAGTCTGAAACTAGTGAGGGAAGTCAGGGTGTCTCCTTTCCCACAGAGTTGTAGAAAAAAAAAATGTATTAGTAAAGACACAGGAATGAGGTGGCCTTTAGGGTGGTGGAAAACTGGCTGCCTTCAGGGACGGCACTTCAGGGACAGAGTCCCAAGGGTAGCTTGGCTCCTTCCCTCCTTTGTTCCTCAGTCTGCCAGGTGTGTCTCACTGTTTCCTTTTCCTCTAGATTCTTGTGTCATTAGCCTGGGGTTGGAGGGAAAGCATTCAAGGAGCTCAGGGAAATGTTCAGCAGGAGGTCTAGAGTTTTTGATTCAGTCATATCAAAACCACATATTTTTAGTTCTGGAAGGGATGAAACACTAACAGAGATGGGTCATTTAATCCATCTGACTCATTTTAAGAAAGCAGAAATAGGCTGGGCACGGTGGTGCACGCCTATAGTCCCAGCTACTCGGGAGGATCGCTTGAGCCCAGGAGTTTGAGGTTTCTATGAGCAAGGCTGATGCCACGGCACTCTAGCCCAGGCTACAGAAGTGAGACTCTGTCTCAAAAAAAAAAAAAGAAGGCAGATGTTAAATGGCTTGTTCAGGGTTATTCCACTAGTTAGCAGAAAAGCTGGAACTAAAACTCAAATTCAAAAGTCTAAAGGTATGTGTTAGTTAGCTGTGAGAGACACTGATTAGAGAAGGTCTCTCACAAATACAATAAGGTCTGGAGCATACTAAATAGAAGATTTGGTGTATTTAATTTCTGGTCTCTCTCTTCTTCCTACCTTATTTAGGTTTAGTTCTCCTTTTGGGTTTATAGTGTGTGAAGGGACCTAAGGGCACAGAGTAACAGGCCTCATTACAGACATGTAGCCCAGAAGACTGAGAAGGGTTTAGAGATGCAGAGGCAGGGAGACAGTATGACCCTTGGAGGGGAGGCAGAAAGGAAGGAAACAGGTAGAACTGAGGTCAACTCCAGATGTCCTTCTGCTGGTAAGGGGTTCCAGATGCCCCTTCACCTATAGTCTTTGTCCCAGTAGGACAAGAATATGAGGATGAAGAAAGCCTGGAAGAGGATGATTATTATCAAGTGGTCTATTATTACACAGTCACCCCCAGTTATGGTGAGTATATTAAAGGCTGTGACCCTTAGCTGAGTGGAGAGAGGCCTTGGGGATGTTTAGTCTTGAATCTTTTCCCTTCATTTTGCAACAGAGCAAATGGGTCAGAGAGAAATTTGGCTATGAACAAAAACTATTAAAGCTCATGATGTTATTTTTCAACCTAGTGATTTTTAATTCTTTGGAAAATGGCTAAAACAACTTGAAAAATGTCAAATTTGTAAATTATTTTAAATTCCAGATTGAAAATACAAATGCATACACATTCACAAACATTTTAAACATTAAAGTTAATTAAAATTGGATTATACCAATAAATTTTATAACTTTAGCAACCTGAAGTATTCTGAGTAATCTCTTTCCTTTTCATTTCTACATACACAGTTACCTTTTTCCTTTGTTACTACTGATTTTTTTCTCCTCCACAGATGATTTTGGTGCAAATTTCACCATTGATTACTCCATGTTTGAGTCAGAGGACAGGCTGGTGAGTGACCTCTACATCTATGAGGATCAGGATAAGTAACAGTTAAAAAGAAACTGGGGGCCAGGCTCATACCTGTAATCCTAGCACTTTGAGAGGCCGAGGTGGGAGGGAGGATCCCTTAAAGTCAGGAGTTTGAGCAAGAGCAAGACCCTGTCTCTACAAAAAATAAAAAAATTAGCTGGGTGTGGTGGTGCATGCCTATAGTCCAGCTACCTAGGAGGCTGAGGCAGGAGGATTTTTAAGCCCAGGAGCTTGAGGTTGCAGTGAGCTATGATGATGCCACTATATTCTAGCTAGGGCAACAGAGCAAGACCCTGTCTCAAAAAATATATAAATAAATAAAATGAAATGAAACTGGGGAATGTCAAAATGTAACTGATTATCAGGAATAAAAATGAGTTAGAGGAAGAAAAACTAGGTAGTAGGCCCTAAACAAACCATAGCTAGGAGGATAAGGAAGCCAGATCCAGTAAGTTTGCTAAGACACTAACAAGGGGCAGTCCTAGAATCAAGGGACTTGTTGCATGGGATGAGTATATAATCCATGCAAGCACAGGGTAGGAGGGATCCCTGGATTTAAGTCTTTGAGGGGGGGGAGTGTGGAGGGAGACAGGCAAAAAAGGGGAGAAGAATTTTAAATAGAGAACTATGAGGATGTTGGATGGAGAAGATAACTCTGTGTTTTCCAATCCTACTGAGGGTAGAACAGGTTGGATCAGAAGGTAACAGAAGCAGTAGAGACTACCACTAGTCTCGAAACAGAACGTGCAGACCATCAGAAACCTATAACCGTGAAACCAGTAATAATGGAAACAGTGAGTTGTTTGGGGATTGGGGGGAGGGAGACAAGACATCCCTTACCCTGGATCAATGCCAGGGCTGGTGACATGGAATACCAGCTTTGGTGGATGGGGGAACAAGTAACTAGTACTTCAATGCAGGTGTTCATATCAACTTGACTATCATATCTTTCACTGAGATTTAATACTTAACCCCGTTTACAAAACACTGAGAAGATTTGCAGCAGTTAAATTTCAGTTCAGTAGTACTTAATGTGTATGTAATCTATGCCTAAGGTTGTGGAGGGTGCTGATGCTGATGAAAAAGAAATTTATGATGTGGTTATTGCCCTCAAGGAATTTATAGAACTCAAGTTTACAATTTAGGACAAAATGAAAAGGTATGTTACAATGTTAAATTACACATAAATTTGACAGCATATGACATAGGATAGTGCTTTAGTCAGTATAAGGAGAGAGATCATTATGGGCTAGAGTTGTTTGGAAGGCTTTTAGTAGGTGATTGTGTTTGAAATACACCTTAAAGAATAGGTGAGTTTTTGATTGGTGGGAAGTTATAAAAGGATGAAAGCAATTTGCAGGAATAGCTATTCCAAGAGTGAAAGAGCTGCATAGATGAGAGGAATAGAATAAACATGGGCCGGGCGCGATGGCTCACGCCTGTAATCCTAGCACTCTGGGAGGCTGAGGCGGGCAGATTGCTCGAGGTCGGGAGTTCGAAACCAGCCTGAGCGAGACCCCGTCTCCACTAAAAATAGAAAGAAATTAATTGACCAACTAAAAATATATATACAAAAAATTAGCCGGGCATGGTGGCGCATGCCTGTAGTCCCAGCTACTTGGGAGGCTGAGGCAGGAGGATCACTTGAGCCCAGGAGATTGAGGTTGCTGTGAGATAGACTGACACCACGGTACTCACTCTAGCCAGGGCAACAAAAGTGAGACTCTGTCTCAAAAAAAAAAAAACAAAAAAACAAAAACATGGTATGTTTAGTGGATAGGGTATGACTGAAGGAGAGGGTATATGGAGGGGAACAATGGGAATTAAGAAAAAATAAAATTTACAAGCCTTCTAATATTTGGTTGGTAATTTCACATATGGCAAGATAGGGCCAAATTATAGACAGTCTGAAGTGTCAGGGTGAAGTTTGAACTCATAATAAATAGGGAAACTAATAAGTTCTTCAGTATGGTAAAGATACAATGAAAAGAGGTATTTTAGAAAAAAAAATTCATCTGGTTGTATGCAGGATGTAACTTAATGGAGAGTGATTCATGAAATTTGCATTGTTCCAGAAATAATCTATTAAAGGCCTGGAAGTGGCATTAATATGAGAGGAGAAAAACAAGAAATATTTTGAAGAAAATGTCTTGCTTCACATAATAATTTCATATGAGGAATAAATGAGAGAGTTAAAATTACTTACATGTTTTAAAAATGGATGTCTAGGAAAATGGCCGACCAAAATGGGAACTATGGGAGGCCACAGTAGATTAGGAGGGAAGTCATGAATTTGATATTGACCAGGTTGAATTTATAGTGACAGCCCTATGAGAGTGTCCTAAAGGTAACTGAGCTAGGTCAGGGCTAGAGTTCTAAGTGCAAGTCACAGTTACAAAAGTAAATGAGCTCAACAGAGTCAGTACACACAAAAGCTCAGAAGGCCAAGAGACTGACTACAGACTGTGCCTATAGTTAATAGGAGGAAGAGGAATCAACCAAAGTAATGGGAGAAGGATTGGAGAGGTGGGTAGGTAGCCAAGTTTGTATTACAGAGTCTAGAAGAGAAAGTTTAATATAATCAATCAAGAGCTACCACAGGGCCGGGTGCGGTGGCTCACACCTGTAATTCTAGCACTCTGGGAGGCTGAGGCAGGAGGATCGCTCGAGGTCAGGAGTTCAAAACCAGCCTGAGCAAGAGTGAGACCCTGTCTCTACTATAAATAGAAAGAAATTAATTGGCCAACGAATATATATAGAAAAAATTAGCCAGGCATGGTGGCACATACCTGTAGTCCCAGCTACTCAGGAGGCTGAGGTAGTAGGATTGCTTGAGCTCAGAAGTTTGAGGTTGCTGTGAGCTAGGCTGACGCCATGGCACTTACTCTAGCCTGGGCAACAAAGTGAGACCCTGTCTCAAAAAAAAACAAAAAAAAAACCTACCACGGGGCCAAGGAAAAGTATGTCATTAATGACACCAAAGAAAGCAGTTTTAATTGAATGGTTGGAGAAAAGCTAGATTTTGTGGAGGTAAGAAGGGAGTACATTATGAGGAACTGGAGGCAAGTACAGACCAACCATCTGAAAAATCTGGTAATGTTAAAGAGAAGCGGTGGCTCACACCTGTAATCCTAGCACTCTGGGAGGTGGAGGGGGGAGGATCGCTCAAGGTCAGGAGTTCAAAACCAGCCTTAGCAAGAGCGAGACCCCGTCTCTAGAGCGAGACCCCGTCTCTACTATAAATAGAAAGAAATTAATTGGCCAACTAAAATATATATAGAAAAAAAAATTAGCTGGGCGTGGTGGTACATGCCTGTAGTCCCAGCTACTTGGGAGGCAGAGGCAGAAGGATTGCTTGAGCCCAGGAGTTTGAGGTTGATGTGAGCTAGGCTAACGCCACGGCACTCTACCTCGGGCAAAGAGTGAGACTCTGTCTAAATAAACAAACAAACAAATAAATAAATAAAGAGAAGCAACAGCTGGAAAGGAGATCAGGATCAAAGAGCAGTCTGCATATAGTTGAACACAGATGGGAGGCACTGGTAGGAATGGAAAGTAAAAGATTGACAATGAGGGCAGATAAATCTTTTTAAAGTATATAGTAGGCTCCCTTTAGATTGTAAATTCCTTGAGGACAGGAACCATGTCTTATTCATATTTATATCCTTCCCTCTAACACCTAGCACAGTGACTAACATAGTGTCACGCACAGAATAGATTAAAATAGGTGTCATTGAATTGAGTTGGGGCCTCCCGTGTATGGTCAGGGATGGCTGAAAGTCACAATGGAAAGGACTCCTTATAGTGATGGGGAGGAGGGATGGATCTTTCTCTAAGCCCAGAGGAAAGGAAGACAAAGTTTAGTGTAAAGAGTTGGCTATCCTTCTGGAGGGAGAAGGGGAAGTGGTAGGAAGAATGACACTGGCTTACTATGGGGGGATGTTTGTATTTTAGCAGAGTCCAGATCTGAATGATGCTGTGTCCGGTCTGCAGAGTCCTGTATCCCTCCTTCTGTGGTGGGCCCTAGTTCAGGGAGGGATGTATTTCATGTAAAAGGTGAGAATGCAGCCATTGGCCTTGGGAAAGTCTGCAAAGTAATTCTTACCAGTATCTCTCTGGCTAGTGTTTCCAGGATGGTCAATTCTCAGCTGCTTAAAGAAAGAAGAGAGATCATATTTAGAAAAATATTATTATTTAATCTTGAAGTTTATGAGTAATTGAGGCAAAGATTTTTGTGTTGAGTCATTAATTTTTCTGAACTAGGAGGACTTCAGGACCTCCTAGAGCAGAGACAGGTGGCATGGAGAAAAAACACTGCAGGATTCCAATATGCCCTGAGGAATCAGAGCTGGTTCTAGCCTGGCCATGTTTCAAGGCATGGCAGGTGCCAGAGGGCAAAATGGGCAGGTCTTGCAACCTGAAAGAGTCAAGAAGCAAAGTTCAGTGGTAGAAGGGGTGGCAGTTCCCTGACATATGGGAGAGAAAGAGTGGGAAAACAAAGAGGGAAGAGAGCTGTATTATAGGGAAGGAACTTAAGTTGGGATTCTAAATATTGTGCATAAAAAGATTTAGCAGGAGGAGGAAGGAGTGATGAGGGGAGGGGACACATCTTTCTCAGAAGATATCACAAGGAAATCCTAGCTCAGAATAGGAAATCTGGGATGTTTTCATAGAGTGGCGGGCATGAAGGGGGTTTCCTGGGTCTCCTGACCCTGTTTTTTGTTTTTGTTTTTTCCTTTCTTTCTTTGCTTTTTTAGGTTGGAGAAGACTGCTATGGCTCTTTGGATCAATATTGGCAAGAGGAAATTTGAAGATAAAATAAATAATAAATGAAATAATCTGGTTACTGTCTACTCCTTCATAGGGGTTTGTTCTAAAGTCGCAACATTTACTCAATGATCTTGATCTTTGAGGTAAAAAAAATAAATAAAAAAATAAAGTCACAACACTAAAGAGAGCACCAGGATTTGGGAGCAGGAAGGGTAGATTAGAAAGGGAGTTGGGTGACAATAGAATTAAAGAGAATTATTGACTGTGAATAAACCTGCAATTTGGGGAAGAATGAAGAAGAGCACCCACGGAAAACAGGTTTACTCACAGTTCATAATCCCCTCTAATTCTACTGTTTTATTTTATTAGATATGGTGTTGACATAGTGTGCTTGGGAAACAGGGTTGAGGTTTATTTAGAACCTTTTTTTTTCTTTTTATAAAATAAGCACACTGTAAAACTTAATCTAAAATATCGAAGACTATTTAAAATATTCACACTTCCCCACCCCCGTCCAACTGCCTTTTGCAGTTAGTAATTATGGCAGGGACAAACTCAAATTTTATTTATTTTTAAATTCTCTATTCTCCAGACCCTAATCAGAATTGGGCTGCCCCCTTGCGGTCTGTTCGATGTCATAGCTTCAACCAGCCCACGGTGCCTGGGCCCCGCTCTCCTCTCCATTGTATTCTTGTCAATAATGCAAGGGACAACGACGACAGTAACGTCCCAGTTACTTTTGAGACTCTCTAAACTCTAAACTTGCCTCCCTCCCTCCCTCCAATCCTTTCGAATCTTCTTCAGGGGAAAAATGATGAAATCGAAGATGGACAACGCCATAACCTAGGAGATCAGGGACCTACCCTATTCTGTTCCCCGGGCTCAGAATGAGAGAATTAAGGGCGTGGGGCCAGAGAATTCAGGAGCCTGGGCAGAAAAGTCAGGAACAACTGAGTTCAGCTTTGACCTCTAGAGCCGTGGCGGGGTGGCATCTGAGCTGGTAACGTGCGTGGTAGGTTATGTAAGGAAAGGGCTGGAGGAGCCGCCCCAGCGGGAGCCTGAGAGAGGACGCGGTGTTCTCGGCCGAGCTCCCCACCCTCCTCACCCAGCAGGGCAGGAGGCACCCAACTTGGAGGGGAGAGAGAAGGGGAGGGTGAAACAGAGACCGGGGAGTCACGAGGGCTGGGCTGCCGAGAAAGGGAAAGGATACACAGCGTCACACATGCATTCTTTAATGCACGTTGCAGACACAAGTCGCTGACGGTTTCCATGTGCTGTGCTCGTGAGCGGACGCGCTCAAAGAGGGGGAGGAAGGGTTGGCTCCAAAGGCGGAAGTGGAGGTGGGGTGCCGAGGGGGGTGGGTCCCACGACCCGAGGCGTGCACCTCCAGTCGCACAACGAATCTCAACACTCAATCCGCGTATGTCTGGCGCATCATCATTCTAGTCAAGGCCATGGACTCCGCCCTTTTTCCTCCCCTCCCTTCTTTTCCACGCTTTTTCCATCCTCCTCCTTTTCTCATCACCGGGTCCTCTCCAGGAGCCGCATGTAGGGGCGGAGCACGGAATGCTTCCTTTCCAGCCAATCATCAGCTGGCGGCCTCCCGATTGGCTGAGCCCCTTTGTACTGTAGCAAATAGGCTGTGAATTTCAGTAACGAGAGTCATACGTTACCGGCTAGACAACCAATGAGGGCGCGAGGTCTGTGTACGCAGGGGGAGGCACGTGCCGAGCCGCACGTGTCTGGGAGGGGGAAGGGGCGGGACCCACTGAGAGAGAAGCGGAGGTGGGTAGTCGAGACCCGGAGAGACTGAGACAGAGCTGGAGGCAGAGTCTACGCTGAACCGACCGGCACAGGTAAGGACAAAGCGAGCTGCTGCGGAGGTGTGGACCCAAAGGGAGTGGGTTGGGGGGCTGAACCCAGATCTTGGCATTGAGAGGGATTGCATCATGTGTCAGGCGCGACCTGAGAGGAACCGGCGCAGGTATCCTGATCTTAAAAGATTGGGAAAGGGTAGGAGGCCTGTCTCTGTGGGGGTGGTTCCCGTGGGGTCACTGGGTGGGTTGGGTGCCCAGATTTACTGCTTGCCCATGGCGTGGCCTCAAGTGGAGTGGCTTGCTGCGGGATTCGGTGGGGAGCAGCCTAGGCGAACGACGGGGGGGAGAGGAAGGTGTCATTCAAGTCAGGTATTTACTCTGAACGGAGGGAAGAAAACAGCCGAGGCTGTGTCAGGCCGAGAGCTGCTCTGCGGAGGCCAGAGAAGCAGTCCCAGTTTTCCTAATGGGCGGGGGTGGAAAAGATGAGTTTTTCTTTTGTCTCTGAGACAGGTAATATTGGGGAGGGGGAGAAGAGGTATTACCTGTGCAGTACACCCTAGTCTCCCAGTCCATTTCCTAATCCTTAGACTCTGGTTTCAAACTACTTCGCTTTGCTCTTCAGTTGCAGGTTCCGATCTTTGGGTACTCCAGGAGCTGCTCTCCAGCCCCTGCTTCTGGACCTATGGATTCTCCATCTAGCATTTCTTCCTATTCCTCCTACTCTCTCTCTTCCTCATTTTCCACCTCCCCAGTGAACAGTGACTTTGGCTTCCCCTCCGATAGTGAGAGGGAGGACAAGGGGGCCCACGGGCCCAGGCCAGACACTGTTGGGCAGAGGGGAGGTTCACGGCCCAGCCCGGGTCCTATCCGCTGCAGGCATCGATTCAGAGTTTCCAGTAACCATCACACAGCATCTCACCCGGAACAGCGGGGCTTGGCTTCTCCTATGGCAGGATCTGGGGTCAAAAGATCAAGAAGTGGTGAATTGGAGACCAATCTAAACATCCAGGGTTGTACCACAGAGGGAGACCTGCTATTTGCTCAGAAGGTAAGAGAAAACAGGAGAAAAGAGACACTTCTGGAGTGGCTTAGCACCCAGCTGGTTAATAAGGAACCAATGAGGATAGTATTGCCTCCCAGATTTGGAGATGGAGGAAGAATCACTTTAAGTGTGGGAAATTCTTGGTCTTCTCATAGCCTTTGTCTTGTTTTCCTTCAGTGTAAAGAACTCCAAGGATATATACCCCCTCTCACAGACCTACTGAATGGGCTGAAGATGGGTCGTTTTGAGAGAGGTAATTTTCTGATTAGTTGTGTTTGTTTGGGCTAAATTTGTTTCTCTTTCTCTTCCTCTCTGTTGAATGTGTATTTCTTTTAAGTTTTTGTTTGGGGCCTGGATGATTCCTTTTTTGCATGACCTGGTTTCTTAGGTCAATCAGTTTTATTTATTTTATTTTATTTTTTGAGACAGATTCTCACTGTTGCCCAGGCTAGAGTGAGTGTCGTGGCGTCAGCCTAGCTCACAGCAACCTCAAACTCCTGGGGTCAAGCAGTCCTACTGCCTCAGCCTCCCGAGTAGCTGGGACTACAGGCATGCGCCACCAAGCCTGGCTAATTTTTTCTATATATATTTTAGTCGGCCAATTAATTTCTTTGTATTTATAGTAGAGATGGAGGTCTTGCTCTTGTTCAGGCTGGTTTTGAACTCCTGACCTCGAGCAATCCGTCCATCTCAGCCTCCCAGAGTGCTAGAATTACAGGTGTGAGCCACCGCGCCTGGCCGGTGAATCAGTTTTAAACCCCTTCTGTCCTTCCTTTACCTGACTACATGCTGGAAGCTAAATCCTTGATCTTTCTCTTTCCCTGACTCCAGGATTGAGCAGTTTCCAGCAGAGTGTGGCAATGGACAGGATCCAGCGTATTGTAGGTGTTTTGCAGAAGCCACAGATGGGGTAAGTCCCCCTAGCTCTTTCCTCAGGACTTAATAAAGGAGATTTCTCCTTTAATGTCTTACTTTTTTTTCATACCTTGTTATGTTTCTTTTTTCATACCTAATGGCTTTTTTAAAAATATCCTTTTCATAGGGAACGTTATCTAGGAACCCTACTACAGGTAGAAGGGATGTTAAAGACTTGGTTTCCTCATATAGCTGCCCAGAAGACATCATTGGGTGGTAGCAGGCATCAGCTGACCAAGGTAAGAGCTTAAAAACCTGGGTAAGAGGTGGGAAAACAATCAAGGAAATGAAATGCACATGCAGAAATGGGCACCCCCTTCCATTTTCTTCTGGGTCCTTTCTCCAAGTTTCTATTCAGGGAAGGAAATGCTTAAACTTCCTGCATTGTCTTGATTTCTAGATGTTGTTTGGATCAGTGGAAAGAACTCTATGAAGTTTAATCCTATTCCTCATGTTGCAGCTTATCTGCTTTCTTCATAGATACAGAAGGCATTTTACCTGGCCAAATGATTCATGTAGGAAGATGCCTCAGCTTCTCTCTGCAAATCCTTTCTTCCCTGATCCTCCTAAGCCCTTCGCCTGTCCCTCTTTTCACTCCTGAGTATTCTAGTACCAAACTCTCTGGAAGCCTTTGCGTCTACACTAGGTGTCAAGGACTGGTCATAAGAGCTACCCCACTGGGAATAGGGGAGAGGGCACCCATGGGGGAGTAGTGGATAGATTCTTAGATCTGCTGTAAAAGTGACCTATTTTATGTGCCTTCAAATAATAAGGTATTAAGAGGGCATTCAAATGATGAGGAGGGGAGAGTCTCAGGTGGATAATTGCCAGTCCTTGTTTTCAATCAACTGTGGTTGTTATTGCTGTGAGAATAATTGATTAAAAATTAAGCAGCAGGATCTTGCCTGCACATTAATTTATACTTGTTAAAGAACCCAATGTAGAAAATTAGAATTTAAAATGCAGAAATTGGGAAATGGGCCGGGCGCTGTGGCTCACGCCTGTAATCCTAGCTCTTGGGAGGCCGAGGCGGGCGGATTGCTCAAGGTCAGGAGTTCAAAACCAGCCTGAGCAAGAGCGAGACCCCGTCTCTACTATAAATAGAAAGAAATTAATTGGCCAACTGATATATATATAAAAAATTAGCCGGGCATGGTGGCACATGCCTGTAGTCCCAGCTACCCGGGAGGCTGAGGCAGAAGGATCACTCGAGCCCAGGAGTTTGAGGTTGCTGTGAGCTAGGACGCCACGGCACTCACTCTAGCCTGGGCAACAAAGCGAGACTCTGTCTCAAAAAAAAAA